AGAACCTTAATAATTCATCCTTTATTACAGATACATCCCTGTAGATTAGCATGAGAGGGAGCTGAGGTTACAACACTGAGATAAGGTCTTCTCTGAGACCTTTACTCTTCAAACATGTCCATAAATAGATATTAGTAGTGGTAAAAAATAAAGATTATTGACTATTACAAAGCTTTAGACCCTTTAGGTGATGTTTATCAAGCGTTAGATTACTTCAGATTTTTAAGTACATTAGAGGGATATGTTGGGGGAGGGGTCTTTGAAAGACAGTTTTCTGATTCAGGACTCTTGCTTAAAAAAAAAACAAAAACAGGCAACTGGGCTGGTGTGGCTCAGTGATTGAGCGTTGACCCATGCACCAAGAGGTTGCCAGTTCGATTCCTGGTCAGGGCACATTGCCCAGGTTTTGGGCCGATTCCCAGTGGGGGTGTGCAGGAGGTAGCCGATCAGTGTTCTCTCTCATTGATGTTTCTGTCTTTCCCTCTCCCTTCCTCTCGCTCTAAAATCAATTCAAGAAAAATATTAAAAAAACTAACAAGCAAACTAACATTAACTTAAGCAAAGTAAATGGAATTAATGATTGGCCACTGGGAAGAATAGTGAGAGACTTTAATTTTTAAAATTACCCAAATTCTTTTTATCTATCTTTTTTCAAAACCACCCAAATTCTTTTTTTTTTTTTTTTTATTCTTACCCGAGGACATTTTTCCATTTTTTGTTCAGCTAAGTGGGAGGGGGAGAAAAAGAAAGATAGAGAAAGAAACATTGATGTGAAAGGGACACATCGAATGGTTGCCACCGGCATGACCCAGTCAGGGTTGGGGACAAACTGCAACTGAGGTACTTGCCCTTAGCGGGAACTGAACCTGGGTCTCTCTGGACCACAGGCCGACGCTCTAACTGCTGAGCCAAACCGGCCAGGGCAAAACCACCCAAATTCTTTTTTTTAATTTATTTTATTTTATTTTTGTTACAGATGTTTCTCCTTTTTTACCCCATTGACATGACACCCTCCTCCCCATTCCCCCACCCTATCCCTGGCTTTGTTGTCCATGTCCATTGGTTAAAAACCACCTAAATTCTTAATCTAAGAATTTTACATCTGATATTTGCAATTTTCAAATCAGTCTACTTCAGTCTTTTGGGAGTACTTAAGAAAAAAAGAAATAGGACCCAATACTCCAAGGTTATGGGTTTGATCCCCAGTCTGGGTACTTACAAAGAAGCAACCAATGGGTTTGATCCTTGGCTCTGGTCGGGCACACGTGGGAGGCAACCAATCGATGTGTGTGTCTCATCCATGTTCCCCCCCACCCCTTTTCCCTCCCTTCCACTCTTTAAAAAAAAAGCAATGGAAAAAATATCCTCAGGTGATGATTACACATACACACACACACACACACACACACACACACACACACAGCAGTCAATGCATAAGTAAGTAGAACAACAGGTCATGTTTCTCTCTCCCTTGCCCTCTGTTCCTCTCTCCCTCCCTCCCTCTCTCTCTCTCTCTAAAATCAATCAATTAAAAAATTTGTTTAAAAAAGAAAAATAATTTGGAAAGGCATGCTACCAAGGGCAGGAGTGTGTCTATACACTCCTATATGCACATGTCATATCATTAAATTTCAGAGTGAAATTTAGGTATAAACGAAAGTTAATTTACAAATTTCCAGTGAAGAGGAATAGTGGAGTTGATGTTGAATTTATGTTTACAGTTTTGGAGTGACTCTTCTTCCTAGTACAAATATTGCTTTTAAAAAATGTATAAAGGTTACTAATGTTGGCAGTGTTTATAACCCTAGCACTTAGCACAGTGCCTGGCACATGGTTCAGTACATGTTTGCACGAATACCTGATGCTGAGATCAATCCATGTAATTCTAGTTATGTCCTGGCCAGTTTTTCTCAGTGGTTAGAGTGTCGGCCCTCAGACCAAGGAGTCATGGGTTTGATTCCAGTCAAGGGCAGGTACCTTGGTTGTGGTTTGTTCTCTGGTCCTGGTCCTGGTCCGGGTCTTGTGGGAGGCAACCAGTTGATGTGTCTCTTTTGCATTGATGTCCCCGCCCCCCTTTTGTCTGAAAATAAATGGAAAAATATCCCCGGGTGAGGAATTAAAAAGTATAATTCTAGTTAGAAACTTAGTGTTTTGATAAGTTGAACAGCTACACTGACTTATACTAGTTGCTTTCTATGATAGTACTCCTTTAGGAGTGTATTCCAGACTAGTGTTAGTGTTTTTTAATTAATTCAATGTGGATTTGTTGCAGAAGGGTCCAGAGAGCCTCATTATATGGGGTTCTGACCTGTAAGGCATATATATATATATATATACATATATATATATATATATTTTTTCCTTTATTGATCTTAGAGAAGAAGAGAGAAGGGGAGAGAGAGATAGAAACAATGATTAGCTGCCTCTTGCATGCCCACCACTGGGGATTGGGCCTACAACCTGGGCATGTGCCCTGACTGGGAATTGAACTGGCGGCCTCTTAGTGCATGTGTCAGTGCTCAGCCACTGAGCCCCCCCACCCCCACCCCCCGGGCTATGAGGCATATATTCTTAAGACAACGTTGTCCTATAGAAAGGCTCCAAAGTATTTCAGGTATCCTTTGGGTACCATTGAAATGCCTTAGAGTTTCTTTAAAGATACTGAGAAAATTGCTCTTTCCCCAGTAGAGACACTGGACAGTTTTTACTGATGACTAAATTCAAATTGGTTTATACCATGTTGAGTTTACCAAGTTTATACCAAGTTGAGTTTAATTTGATTGATTTCTATTTCTGTAATAATGGTTTTCTTTAAATGGATGATCTGGTCATCATTGATATCCATGAGAGAACTAGAGGGGAGTTACACTGCCGGGGAGATTAGGGATTGGAAAGGCATTAGAAGCACTGTTATTAAAATGAAAGTACTTAATCTGTAAAAGAAAAAAAATTTTCAGCAAGTATGAGATGCAGAATTAAGTCATAGTGTGCTAGTCTGCTATACAGATGATATTAGTTCTCTATTTACCAGGCCAGCCACCTTGGAGCAGAATATGGAATATCTATCTTAAATTAGAAAAGCTGTATTTCTCCTTCCGTTGAAACACACAATATATAAACATCTTTTCAATTGTAGGAAACTCTGGGTTTGTTGTTTAGTAGCAAGTGTGAATTGGATAAAGTTTCTGAATATAAGATTTTTATATGGAGCAAATTCATATTTTTTTTCTCTTATATTTCTCACCACACTTCTCCATTCATGAGTATCTTTCAGCTGATACCTGGTGCCAGATATCTTGGAATAAATGTTTTAGAACAGTTGTGGAAAACTGTTGGTTTGATCTAGTCTTAGTTATGTTATGGTGTAAGTCAAGCTCTTAAATGAAGGTGGCTGGGTTTTATAGATGGACAGACGTGAATCTTCCTGAGAACAAATTGTTCTGTGATGGAGACATCGCTCAAACCTGCATGCACCTGTCAGCTGCCCGTGGTGGCACAGTGAGAGAAAGTGATCTGTAATGTTTCTCTGGTGTGTGTCTATTACTAGCTATATTGTAATGTGTAATACATCTCTTGGGTAGACAGCTTGTGTGGGCTGGGTTCCACCTTAGTCTTGTAAAGATGCCCAGAAGCATCAAGGCACATTTTTTAAAACCTATTTAAACATTTAGACTAATGGTTAATTTTAGTGAAATTTCTGCTATATTTAATAAACTATTTGCTTTAAGTGAGATGAAAATTTAAGTTTATGGCTTCCTCACTTATCAGCTATGTGATCTTTGATTGACAAATTATTAATCTCTGCCCATTTCTATATCAGGAAAGGAAGATTATAAGAGTATTTGCCTCATAAGGTGGTTGTGTGGATTTAGGCAGCTCATAGGTATGAAGTGTATGGAAGAGTGAGTGTCTGCCACCACCACCACCATTATCTACATAATTTTGAGTGAGATGAATTTCCCTTCCCTGAAGCTAGATTGCCTTTTTTTTTTTTTTTTTAAAGGAAGATCACATTTCTATTAAGGATGTGGTCAACCCCAATTCTAACATAGAAGCTCTCCGTTTTGACTCATGAAATCTACAAGTGTATCTTCAGCTAAAGTGTAATATAGTATATTATAATATTATGTATCATACTATATGTTATATAAAGTATGTATTACTTTAAAAAGTACATATTACTGCCCTGGCCGGTTAGGCTTAGCAATTAGAGCGTCAGCCTGCGGTCCCGAGAGACCCGGGTTCGGTTGCCACTAAGGGCAAGTATCTCGGTTGCAGTTTGTCCCCAGCCCTGGTTGGGTTGTGCGGGTGGCACCTACTCAATGTGTCCCTTTCACGTCGATGTTTCTCTCTCTCTCTCTCCCTCCCACTCTATCTGAACAAAATATCAAAAAATGTCCTTGGGTGAAGATAAAGAACAAAACATTACTTTATACATTACTTTAAAAGTATATATTTCTTCAAAACTATAGTACATTATAATAAAGTATAATATCACTAAAATGGATGGAGAAATTTATAATATTGCTATGAAATGATCTACAAGATGTATTGTTGTGTGAAGAAAGCAAGGGCAAAGTAGTGTGAAAATTATCCTACCGCTTACATAAAAATTTGCTGGTACATGCATAAAATACCTGGCAGGCTATGCAAGGAATGGTATATTTTCATTTGTTGCTGTAGAGGAGGGAAACTGGATGGCTGGAGACAAGGGTAGGAGACTTTTTACTATATATCCTTTTCTATTTTTTGATTATTGAAGCATGTGAATGTATTTCCTAGTTAAAAAAACAAAAAAACCAACACTGTAAAAGTGAAAAAGTAAAATAGCTATTTTGAAGTCTAGGTAAATTTTTATCCATCCTTTGTAAACATTCTTTTTCGTTTGTCCTGCTCAAATTCACATTTGATAGGGATTTTAGATTCCTATGTTAGTTTTTTTTTCTTTAAGTTTGCTTTCCCTAACACTAAACTAAGAATGTTCTTTTGTCCTCTATTAGGGATTTGAGTCATAATCGGTTGTCTAACTGGAACATCAGCTTGGAATCCCAGACAATACAAGAGGTGTAAGTTATTTTGCTTAAATTTACATTAAATCGAGGTGATCTAACGAATTGTGAATTTGAGGATGTTCAATTTAGAAATGCTAAGAAAAAATCAAAGGAAAAAATGTACATTAAAAGACAATTGTTTTAAAAAACGTAAACTGTCATCTTTAGCTTTATTGTCAGAAATTCTGTGCATTGTGCCACCGGGTTGATGATTTCAAGTTGCAAACTGTAGGCATAGTCTTCCTTGGGGCCAAAAGTAAGATTTTTCCTCTCTTGAGACTATGTTTTTTGCCAGAGTTTAAGCCAACTTAAATTCAATTGTGTAAACTTTTTTTTAAATGTCCTTTTTGTTTTGTTTTGATAGTTTATTGATTTTTAGAGAGCGAGAGAAACATTAATGTGAAAGCGAAACAGAGCTCTACTGCCTCCTGCATGCCCTCTCCTGGGGATTTGAGCCGAAACCAGGCATATGTCCAGACTGGGAATCGCGCCAGCAACCTTTCTCTGCACAGGATGATGCCCAACCAACTGAGCCACACCTACTAGGGCTTTTTTATTAAAACAAACAAAAAATTTTTTTTTCTTGAATGATTTTAGAAAGAGGAAGGGAGAGGGAGGGAGAGAGAGAAACATCAGTGAGAGAGAACATCGATTGGCCCTCTCCTGCATGCCCCCACTGGGGATTTGGCATGTGCCCTGACTGGGAATCAAACCGGCAACCTCTTGGTGCATGGGTCGATGCTCAACCACTGAGCTACACCGGCTGGGCCTACCAGGGCTTTTTAAAAATGCCTTGACTCATCTAAAATGGAAGCATCGTGTCTAAAGTAGATTTATATGAAATAGAATACTTTTGGTATCATTTGGAATGCGGTGGTTAGTAATTTAGTTTTCTATTTTACCGAAGTTTTTCCTTTAATACTGTGATGTATTATTATGTATTTGGAGGAAATTTTCTAAAATAGGAATTCTTTTTTTTTTATTAAAATTTTTTTTTTCTTTATTAATTTTTAGAAAGAGAGGAAGGGAGAGGGAGAGAGAGAGAGAAACATCAATGAGCGAGAACATCAATTGGCCTCTTTCTGCACACCCCCTACTGAGGATTTGGCCCACAACCTGGGCATATGCCTGACCAGGAATCGAACTGGCAACCTCTTGGTGCATGGGTGGACACTCAACCACTGAGCCACACTGACCGGGCTAACATAGAAATTCTTAATATCAGTTATTGTATGGTAATATTCCCAGAGGCACAACTTTTGAGCCTGTTGTGCCTTTACCCTTGAACTCCCCCCAACTCTAAGATTTATTTTTCTTTTTAGTTTCTTTTTCTTTTCTTTTTTTTTTTTTTTAATCCTCACCAGAGGACAGTTTTCAACATTTTGTTGAGATAGAGTGGGAGGAAGAGAGAGAGAGAAACATCGATGTGAAAGGGACACATCGATTGGCTGCCACCCACACGACCCAACCATGGCCGGGGACAAACTGCAACCGAGGTACATGCCCTTAGCGGGAACCGAACCCAGGTCTCTCCGGACCACAGGCCAATGATCTAACCGCTGAGCCAAACCAGCCAGGGCTCTTTTTAGTTTCTTGCTGATAGGGTAACTTGTGCGCTCATTGTTCCTGCATCCTGTCCTTCCGTGCCCCAAATGATTGCTTCTGATCTGCTTCGGAGTGAACAGACAATTGATAAGCTTACTAACTGAGAGAGTAGCACCAAGGACAGGTGTGAAAATGCTTCAATGGGAAGTGCGTGAGCTGGTTTGTTATAATGACTTTGCAACTTCAGCTGGTTCCTTGGAGGCCTTTTACTTCAGGTTTTTTCCTGTATTTTAAATTGTTGAGGTTATTCATTGATTGAAAACCAGGTTAATGAGCCCTGGCTGGTTTGGCTCAGCGGTTAGAGCGTTGGCCTGCGGTCTGGAGAGACCCGGGTTCGGTTCCCGCTAAGGGCATGTACCTCGGTTGCAGTTTGTCCGCAGCCCTGGTTGGTCGTGCGGGTGGCAGCCACTCGATGTGTCCCTTCACGTCGATGTTTCTCTCTCTCTCTCTCCCTTCCTCTCTCTCCCTCCTGCTCTATCTGAACAAAGAATGAAAAAGTGTCCTCGGGTGAGGATAAAAAAAAAAAAAAAAAGAAAACCAGGTTAATGAAATATGATTATATTAGCTTTACTACCAAAACATTTACGACAATCTGTTTTAAAGAGCTCTGGGATCAGTTGGTGGCATGTCATGTCATCTGTAAAATTTAATCATAGGCTCTGTCTCTGGGTTGGTAAATTTCATCTGTTTTTCTCAAGCAATCCTCCCTGATTTTGAATAACTTTAAAATGTATATGTATTTTTTCGTGTGTGTGTGTTTATATTTTTAAAATTTAATTTATAATTCCATTATAAATATGAAAAAAAGATAAAGATGTGTTAATTATTCTTTCTTGTTTAAGAAGCACCCAAATTAACCACCATAAATGGAACTATTCAAAGAACCTTGGTGGAATTAAAAATATTTAATGTGTGTCCTGACCGGTGTGGCTCAGTGGATAGAGCATCAGCCTGTGTACTGAAGGGTTACAGGCTCAATCCCCAGCCCCAGTCAGGGCACATGTGGGAGGCAGGCAACCCATCTATATGTCTTTGTCACATCAGTGTTTCTCCCCGCCCCTTCCCTCCCTCCCTCTACTTTCTCTAAAAATCAATGGGAAAAAAATATCCTTGGGTAAGGATTAACAATAATAACAAATTTGCAAAATATACTGAGATCAATCATAGATCTATACCATGAAAAAGTGTTTCTTATTTAAACCTCTAATTTCTCAGTATGATACATTTAGTATAACTCATTCTGGAGTCATAGGCTTTTTTCAAATGTGCCACCCCTCCTAAAGAACTCAAGAGGTACCCAGTCAGTGTGGCTCAGTGGTTAAGTATCGATCCATACACCAAGAGGTCGCTGGTTCAATTCTCAATCAGGGCACATGCCCAGGTTGTGGGCCAAATCCCTATTGGGGGTTTGGAGGAGGCAGCCAATCGATGTTCTCTCTCATTGATGTTTTTATATCTCTCTCCCTCTCCCTCTCTCTCTAAGAATCAATAAAGGAAGAAAAAAAAAATAACTCAAGAGGTAACATTTCTCTCGCTAAACTTTGAAATCTTATTTTCCTCCTGTGCCTAGGAAAATGAATTATAATGAGCTAACCGAAATCCCGTATTTTGGAGAACCAACCTCTAATATTACTCTACTGTCATTGTAAGTAAATAAGATCTTTCAGATCTTTCACTTAAATTATGCATAGTACACATTTTTTGTTATTGTTGTTTGTTTTAGGTAACCTTTTTGTTGTTCCCAATTATTTAATATTCTTGTGGCCTGGGATGGTTCGTTCGCTGACAGTAGCTTCAACATCATCTTTGTTTTGTAGAGTCCATAATATAATTGCAGAAATAAATGCAGAGGCGTTCCAGTTTTACCCTGCTCTCGAGAGTTTAGATCTCAGCTCAAATATAATATCAGAAATTAAGACAGCTTCATTTCCTCGAATGCAGCTTAAATACCTGTAAGTTAAATAGAGTTTAAACTAGATATACTTTAAAGTGTATAATATTTATTGATACTTCTCAGAAATGTCTGTTGTGATTTTTATATGCTTATGTGAAACAAACCCACAGTCAGTTTTTTGAGGTTTTGGGGATGTTGGGGTTTTTTCACCTCTTAAAGAAAGAGTGCACTATTTTCAGACAATATTATTAAATATTCAGGGTAATTTTTGAGATTTAATTCTGGATTGTGTTTTACTAAAAGGTAAATAGGAGTGGTTTGTTAAACAGTGGCTTACTCTCTATAGCGATGATGATAATTAGCATGTTTATTAGTGTTTTACAGTTTGCAAGCATATTCACACTTATTGTTTCAACCCAAATGAAATAGGTCATATTCTTATTTTGTAGTTGAAGAAATAAAGCAGTTAAATGATTTGTAAAGTTGTACACAGTGGCCTATTGGTAGAGCTGGGGCTTAGTCATAGACTTTTTTGGGCAGTTTTCCTGTGGTAGAAGTTTTGTTCCACTAATTTTTTGTTATGATCTTGTTCATTTTAGGAATTTGAGTAATAATAGGATAACTGTTTTGGAGGCTGGTTGCTTTGATAATTTATCGAGTTCTTTATTAGTGGTGAAGTTAAACCGTAACAGAATTAGCATGATTCCACCCAAGATCTTCAAGCTACCTCACCTCCAATTCTTGTGAGTAATTAAGTAGTTGGCTTATAAGAAGATAATTTTTTTCTTACAGTGTGTTTTCCTTTTTAATTATTATTAGAGAATTTTCAGCAAACCATTTTCCTAACTGTAAAACTATTTTTGTTAAAGGGAACTTAAAAGAAACAGGATTAAAGTTGTGGAAGGGCTAACATTCCAAGGCCTTGACTCCTTAAAATCTTTGAAAATGCAGCGGAATGGAATTAGCAAACTTAAGGATGGAGCTTTTTTTGGCTTGGATAACATGGAAGAATTGTAAGTACTATGAACTAGCATAGGCGATTGTTAGGGAAGGGGTCTGACTGGGACTTTTTAGTGCCAGACAGCTAGGATAGCTGTTAGAATTATAGCAAGGTACATTAGTTCCTTTCTCCTTCTCTGATGTGAGATAAGTATACACGAAGCTCTCTAAGTTTTGTTACCTAACTGGCAATTTTGTCATCATTCTTACAAGCATTTTCTCTAAATAGTTTATGTTCCCTTAATGTTTTGGCTGATGAAAATCATCAGAATTTATCCAGAGCAGGTATACTATACCTCTTGGTGTCTTGATTTTATAGATCTGATATTTTAGACAATCTTATTACCTTCTAGCACTACATGTTAAGATATAAATAGTTATTGAGTAGAACTTGTTTGCTCACTTGTGTTGAACCAGAGGCATATATTTCTCTGAGGAAGACTTAGTGAAGATTTTTGGAATCTTCTTATTGCACTGCCTGTTATGAAACATGTTTTCTCCTTTCTCTAATTCTGTAGAGAACTGGAACATAATAACCTTACAGAAGTGAACAAGGGGTGGTTGTATGGCTTGCGAATGTTACAACAGCTCTATGTGAGCCAGAATGCTGTTGAAAGGATCAGCCCCGATGCTTGGGAGTTCTGCCAAAGACTATCTGAACTGTAAGTGGTAGATGGCATTTCCAACAGTGGAGGATCTGAGACTAGAACAGGTTGGAATAAATCATTCCCATGGCCAGTAATAAAATCTGACATCCCTCTTTATTAGAAGCTCGTTGAAAGCTCTAAATTTATTATGTAAATAGAATAAGAATATGAAAGTTGAACTAAAATACAGTGAATTTCTTACCTTTCATGTTTCCTGTTTTTAGTGATTTGTCCTATAACCAGTTGACCCGCTTGGATGAGTCTGCCTTTGTAGGTCTGAGCTTATTGGAGAGATTGAATTTAGGGGACAACAGAGTCACTCACATTGCTGATGGTGTATTTAGGTTTCTTTCCAATCTTCAGACACTGTAAGTATATCTGTTCTCTTTTTCCCCCCTAATTTTTTTTAAAGCAGTAAAGTACATAAAAGAACTAACTAATCAGTCTGCAAATTTATACATGTTAATACTTTGTGGTTCTTCTGTCCTGTGCCTTGGCACAAGGCAGTCTTACTTGTCTCTGTCCCTATACCTAAATCTTATTTATCTCTAGCCAGTGCTCTTTGTACTTTAATTCCGAATTAACCAACTAAACAACAAAGCATCTCTTATATCAGTTACTGTGGAACAAAACAAAGTTTCTAGTGTCAGGAATGCACATTTTCTTCTTTCTCTGACTTTGAACTACCACTGGTGTACCAGAACAACTACTACTCAGGAGGATATAGGACGTGTAGCTCTATCAGAGCTACAGTTGTTAACTGTTACTAATTTGCTGCATGATTTTGGACAGAAAAAAACTAACATTTAATGATTTGTTATGTGCCGGGTGCTTTCAGAATACTAGGATATTATTGCTCTTTTCCATATTAGAAGGCTGAGGTTCAGAGAGATTAAAATGATGTGTTTAAAGTCACATAGCTTATAAAGGTTTGGGCCAGGATTGGAACCCAGGTCTCTTTAATATTAAAGCTCATTTGTTTTTACCATACTGCCAGATGAACAACATCTCTTAACCTCTCCTGGGTATCATTTTCTTTGTCTCTTCATCCAAAGAAGATGGACATAAGATTAAATGATTGCTGAAGGCAATTTCAGCTCTGAAATTCTGTGGTTCTGTAAGTTGAATGTTACTGTGAACATGGTATATAATTAAATGAAGAGGTATTTTAATGAAATACAGTAATCTCAAACATAGAGCAGCATAAGAGAAAATAGTAATTAGTAGAATTTGTAGTCTTAAGGTTCCTGAATAAGGGACTCTTTGCTCATTGGGTTCCAGGTTGATAAATGGTCTCAGAAGAGAGGCAGGCTTCCAACTTTGGGGCCTAACTAACAATGAGAAGGAAAGCGTGATACTTTTCTAAATGTGGTGTGTATATGTGCACGAGTGTGTGTTTGATTTTTTTTTTTTAACTTAATGAGGTAGTCTTCCTTTAGATTTGACCTTGAAAAATTAAAAGTGATCTCCCCCTTTTCTACATTCTCAAAGGTGAAACTAGATCAGTTATCAGATGCAGATTGCTTTTTGGCAATCAAGGATGGAAAATAGGTTCTTTCAGTATATCACTGTTATCACTTATAATGTTCAAGTTTAGTAAAGTAACTGCAGAAGTAAATGATTGTCTAATGCCACAGAGATAGTTAAGGCAGAATTAAGATAAGAGCTGAGAAATTTTGGCTTCAGACCAATGCTCTTACCAAAGTAGATACACTTCTTACCATTTTGGTGAGTGAGTTCTTATTTATGCTATGCTGTGGAGGAGTGGGAAAGTCCTGAAGAGTTGAGGCATGTTATTCCTTAGTAAAATAAAATGAGCTTTATTAACTTTCACTTCAAAGTCAAGATAAGGCTAAATGGGAAGAGTGCTCTCCTATCTCCTTAGTGTTATTCACACAGCTTTATGTCTTGTAAAGCGAAAAGCTTTGTGCTCTATTATGAGCCAACTTAAGGAAGCAAGAGTGATCTCTTTAGCTGGTATTTCTTTCATCAGGACTTGGTGTGGTGCAGTTGCATTTCCTCTGAGAATTGAGCAGTGGATTTTAAAAGATCCATACTTTTCCTTTTAAAGAAAACAGTGATCCCTCTAAGCACATGGGTATATTATTCTTGCTTCCCAGGGGGCATGTTTAATTGCCACGGAGCTGTGAAAGTGTATTGACATTGCTCTGTCAGCCATTTTAGGTTAAGGGCCCAGGGGAAAGCTTGGTTCGCCCAGAAATCCCATTAGTCTGCATTAGATTTGTAAGCTCTATCTTCTGTATCTTGAACTCCTCCTGCTTTTGCAGGATCCTGACTATAACGTTTAGTAAACTAACACATTTAGGGGCTATTAGCTAGGGTGGTTCATACTCCTAGCAGTCTGGCTTAATATACTTATTAAGGCTAGCTTAATTTTTAACTTAGGAGAATCAGTTTTTATGTGTTTATCGCAGATAGATATTTTTAAAAGAGTTATTCATCATAACCTACCTGATAAAATAAGAATTGCCATGCCAGAATGGTGTTCATTGGTGTAATGGACATGTTGACTAACATAGACTGTCTTTCCCTGACTTTTTTATAGAAACTTAAGAAACAATGAAATTTCATGGGCCATAGAAGATGCTAGTGAAGCCTTTACTGGACTTACAAGTCTCACTAACTTGTATGTATTTAAAATATTTATGTATCTCTATAAAGGTATGTTTTTAAGAACCAATTGTAAATGTGATTGCATTGTATCTATATACTATGGCTGGAAAGTCTGAGACTTTTGTTTTATTCACTAAAGGAAACTTTAAAAAAAAAAAATCCTCACCCAACTATATGTTTTCATTGATTTTTAGAGAGAGAGGAAGGGAGAGGGGGAAAGAAACATGAGAGAGAAACACTGATCGGTTGTCTCCCGTGTGCACCCTGACTGGGGGTCGAACATGCAGCCTTTTCTGTGTTTGGGACAATGCTGCAACCAACGAACCACCTGGTCAGAGCTAAAGTAAGAAGTTTTGTTGGTTATTAAGTTTCGTGTTTGTTTTTTAATTTTGTTTTTTTTTTTGTGGTGGGACACTTTCTAATGAAAGAGCATTCCTATGGGCACTTAAAGAGAAGTTGTTTGTGGAACTAGAGTTTCTGTTTAAGTAAAAAAAAATGCACTGAGAAATGAGTTGAACCAGTAATCTGTTTATTCATGTGAGATTTATGGGTAATTTAACAAGAGAGGATTCTCTCAAGTAAGATTTTAGATCTCCCATGAGAATTTCTTCAAGGCTTCACACTTGTCTGGATTTCTTTGACCTAATGATCTTTTCCTAAGAAGGGAGAAATTGGGACTATAATCCAATTTCTCATGTGAAAACTGCCAGTGTGTCAGTGGTCAGGATAATGATTCACGGGTACCTCACTGAGCTCTAACATCTTAATAGAAGCTTTCATTCTCTGCTTTGCATTGGTTAGTCATAAATGTTTGCAAATTTCTTAAAAATGCCTGTTAAGCTTATTTTCACCTTTTATAGGTAAATGTTTGATTTAATGAATTTAATGTTGTTTAGTGGAGCGCTTTATTAGAAAGGTCTGTTTGTATTTCAGAATCTTACAAGGAAATCAGATTAAGTCAGTTACAAAGAAAGCATTCATTGGTCTTGAATCCCTTGAGCATCTGTAAGTATTTTCATATATTTTCCCAGTATATAAATAATCTTTGCTATTAGCAGAAATTTTTATGACTGTTCAAAGTGTTTATAGAACTTAATTGTAGAAATGGTGACTGCTAATGTTTTGTTTCTCTCCATTTCAGAGATTTGAACAACAATGCTATAATGTCTATTCAAGAAAATGCTTTTTCTCAGACTCGCTTGAAAGAACTGTACGTAACTTAAATATTTTTTGTTACCAATTAGATTATTTTCCATGTTTGTGCTTAAAGTGTCATGAATATGAACCAGATATTTTCAAAAGCACACAATTCAGGCAGGAAAAAAATGTTAATATGCAATTATTTTAGTTGCTGGATATAATTTAAAAATAATCCAACATTGAAAAGCACAGTGTGGCACAGCGACCCCTGTTTGCCTGTGCTTATAGTTAGCACTGCTCCTTGTGCTTTATGTATGCCTGGCTGTTCCTCCCCCCACACCCCCATTTCTTTATGGATTATTGGAAACATGTGTTTCCAATCCTTACCCCTTGGGGTGGGTTATAATTAGGTATATAATTTTTTTGAGATGATGTAGCACATTCAATATAATGATGTCTCTAATCTGTTCAAGCTACTGAAGTTAAAAACTACATATAGTTGTAATAGAAAAATATATGTCATACCTTTTTTTTCATTCATGATTTTTTAAAAATTTGCTTTTAATGGTTTAGAGATTTTACTGGGGTGGGATGGGGAGGGTGGTAGCTAGTTTGACTATTTGGCCACTGGTTAGAATCAAGGGCCAATAACATTTCTCTTGCCTTACCTGAAAGTTCCTTAAAGGAAGGTCTGTGGACCAAAACTGGTTCATAATGAGATAAAGATGGAAATTCAGAGTAAGTGTTTTGAAACTTTCATTTATTTTTTAAATATGTTTTTATTGATTTTAGAGAGAGAGGAGGGATAGGGAAAGAGAGATAGAAACATTGATGAGAGAGAAACATCAATTGGCTGCCCCCTGCATGTCCCCTACCAGGGATCAAGCCTGCACTGGGCATGTGCCCTGACCAGGAATTGAACCGGCAACCTCCTGGTGCATGGGATGACACTTGGTCCACTGAGCCACACCAGCTGGGCTTTGAAACTTTTTAAACAATTTAACATTACTGTGATACTTTTGTTCAGTTTTATAAAAGGACTGATCTATAACAGATAGGAAATTTAAAAAACTGGTTCTTTACCAGAGAGTTTGAGATGCACTGGAAATGTGTGAATTTAAATTGCCTGGGTTCAAATTCTTGCTCCATTCATTACAGCTATGTGACATTAGGCAAATTGATTAGCCTAAGACTGTTTTCCTACTTAAAATGACAATAGCACCTTTCTTGAAAGGGGCTAGTGAGGATAAAATGAGATTAATTTATTTAATTCAAGAAATGTATTGTCATCTATGTAAGGCATTGTTCATAGCAGTGAACAAGACAAAGCATATTATAGTAAATTCTATAAGGAAGACAAGTAATGAACCAGTAGATATATACTATCTCATCAGGTAATAAATGTTCTGATAAAAAGAAGAGCTGGGTCAACAGTTTGGAGAGTGATAGGAATTGCTATTTTGTATGAAGTAGTGAGAAAAGGCTTTCTGAAGATAACAGCATTTGAGCCAGTACCTTAATGAATGAAATGGCAAACCCTTGAATACTGGCAAAAGGGCATTCCAGGCACAGGGAGGAGCAGATGAAAAGGCCCTAAGGTAGGAGCTTACTTCTTGTGCTTGACACTGATGTGGCTGGAAGATAAGAGCTGGGAGGGAGTAGGTGGAGATGAAGTTAGGGAATTAAAGAGTTAGATCATGTAGGGCCTTGTAGGTAATGAGGAGTTAGTAACAGCTTCCCCGCCTCCCCAATACATTAGGAAACTTTGGAGAATTTTGAGAAGATGTTCAGTACAGAGCCTGGCACAAAGCAAAAATTCAACAAATAATATTAGCAAAACTAAAATGTTATGGTAATTATCATTAGTTATTTTCTGCCAGATTTTTTAAGTGGCTTCTGTTTTGGTCAAGAGATTTTGAATGATTTCTCCTAGGCTTAGGTTATCTTGTAAGGGTCCAGCTTATTGCATATTAGTATAACTTTTTTTTGCCTGTGATAATCTGAGGGCTAGCAAGGAAGTTTTAACTCTTGTTATGAGCTCTGTTCAAAATCTAATTTAGATAGATGAGAGTACATATAGTTTCATTCTGCAGAGAATCGTTTAGTAATTTTGGAGTTGGTTTGAACAGATTGCTAATGCAGGAACTCTAATGCAGCTTTTTTACTGAGAAGTTGTGGTTGCTTTTGGTTACTTTATTTTATTTTTCAATTGATTTTAGAGAGAAAGATATATACCCTGACTAGGAATCAAACCCGCCACCTTTTGGTGTTTTGGATGATGCTCCAGGCAACTGAGCCACACAGGCTAGGATGCTTTTGGTTACTTTAAATCTAAGTCATATTTATAATACTTTTTACTTCAACACTTACTAAAATCTCCACATTTTTTGGTATCCTTCACCATATGTTTGTATAAATAATGAGGGTAGTCGGGAGAGTTGCATATAAATTGAAAATATTTTGCATTAAAATTATATAATCATTGCCCGGCTGGTGTGGCTCATTGGTTGAGCATTGACCCATGCACCAAGAGGTTGCCAATTCGATTCCCGGTCAGGTTAGTTACATACTCAGGTTGTACATACCCAGTGAGGGTCTTGCAGGAGGCGGCCAATCGATGTTCTCCCTCATTGCTCTTTCTCTTTCTCTTTCTCTCTCTCTCTCTCTCTCTCTCTCTCTCTCTCTCTCCCCCTCCCTCCCCCTCTCCCTCCCTCTCCCTCCCTTCCTCTCTCTCTAAAATCAGTACAGAAAATAAAAGTATATAATCATGGTTGAAAAATTAGAAAGTCCAGTTAAACCAAGAGGGAGAGAAAGATCCCAAATCCTTACTACTCAAAGATAACGACTGTTAGAATTTTGGTATCTGTCTATCCACATACTTGAGATGATGCAGGGTACTCTATTAGGCACTTATAGGCAGGATTGGTTAGCATGTGAAGGGTAGAAAGATGCAGAGAAATATAAGTGAAAGGAACTAATGTGAATTCAGTGATATCTGTGGCCAGGCACTATGCCGAATACTTCATTTAAAAATGTTTTTGAGGTAGGTATTTTCAGTCCCATTTTCCAGAGATAGAAACTGAGATTTTGGAGACATTGAGTATCTGGCCTAATGTAAGTAGTGGAATTAGGATATTAGGTCTATGAGTCCAGCTTGTACCCAAGAAATCATAAATCAGACATCATTCCTCTGTTCTAACCGCCCAGTGGCTTCCCTTCACACATAAGGGAAAAAACAACTCAAGTTCTTAGTTTATAAAGTACCTGCAAGGCCTGGATCTCCCTGCCTAGTGCTGTGACTTCATTCCTGTCACTATTCCTTTGTTTCCTCTGTAATACTCAAAACCTCAAGTCACTTTGCTGTCACTTCTCTCAGGTCTTTGTCCAAATGTCATTTCTTCAAAGAATCTTTCCCTGACCACTTTATCTAAACTGGTAGCTGCTGTCTCAGTGTCATTGCCTAGTTTTGTTTTTCTTGATAGCACTTACCTTCTGACATTATACTTGCATTTATTTGTTTATTGCTTGGTTCTAAATACATAAGCTTCGCGAGGGCTATATTCCCACAGCCCGCAACAATGTCTGGCATGTAGTAAACTCCAGTATTTCCCTGTGAACGAATATAAAATAAGGATTCTTAAATGCATAAGATGACTTTTGGCCTTCTTAATTAAAATTATCATTGATAAAACATGGCTTTCTTTTTGTTTGTTGTTGCAAGTATTACAGATGTCCCTCTTTTTTCCCCCATTGACCCCCACCTCTCTGCTCTCACCCCCCTCCTGCCTCTTCACACTATTGTCTATGTGCATTGGCTATACATATATGCATGTAAGTTTTTCGGTTTATCTCTTTCCACCCTCCCCTGTCTACCTTCTCTCTGAGGTTTGTCAGTCTGTTCCCTACTTCCATGTCTCTCAGTCTGTTTTGATCATCTGCTTATTCTGTTCATTATATTCCAGTGAGATCACGTGATACTCGTCTTTCTCTGACTGGCTTATTTCACTTAGCATAGTACTCTCTAGGTCCCTCCCTATCATCTCCAAGGATAACAGATCTTTCTTTCTTACAGCTGTACTCCCTGGTGTAAATATATCACAGCTTTTTATCCACTCATCTCCTGGTGGGCACTTGGGCTGTTTCCAGATCTTGGCTATTGTAAATAGTGCTGCTATGAACATAGGGGTGCATATATTCTTTCTGATGGGTGTTTCAGGCTTCTTAGTATATATTATGAGAAATGGGAATCACTGGGTCAAATGGCAGTTCCATTTTTAATTTTTGAGGCAACACCATATTGTTTTCCATAGTGGCTGCACCAGTCTGCATTCTCTCTGGCAGTGTACTAGAGTCCCTTTTCTCCACAGCCTTGCTAGCACAAAACATGGCTTTTGATACAACCTTGGACTGAAACATCTTTGGAATCAGATCTTTGGCACTTTTACCAAACTTCAAAACTAGAGAGGAGACAATAAAAGAAAACACTGATTTTTTAATATACAGGGTGAGGCAAAAGTAGGTTTACAGTTGTACAAATAAACAATACAATTGATAAATAATAATACAAGAATAAACTGTTTTGCATACTCAAAACTGTAAACCTGCCCTGGCCGGTTTGGCTTAGTGGTTAGAGTGTTGGCCTGCGGTCCAGAGAGACCCGGGTTTGGTTCCCTCTAAGGGCATGTACCTCGGTTGCATTTTGTCCCCGGCCCTGGTTGGATTGTGTGGGTGGCAGCCATTCGATGTGTCCCTTTCACGTCGATGTTTCTCTTTCTCTCTCTCCCTCCCTCTCTATCTGAACAAAAAATGGAAAAATGTCCTCAGGTAAAGATAAAATAAAAAAAACCCAAAAGACTGTAAACCTACTTTTGCCCCACCCTGTATGTTTTATAGGTCTATTATAGAGCACAAATAATTCTTCAGTGGTTCTTAGTTTAAGTTATAGGACACATAGGCTGGAATGTTTTCAGTCTCGAAGTAATCTGAAAAAATATATCCTCCACAACAAAGATGTGTCTGTGCTCTAATATATATATATAAAGCTTTTTTCTAAATTTTTCTGGAAATAATTTTAAACCTTAAAGATTTAAAGGAAGGTACAAGGAAGATCCATATACCCTTTACCTAGATTCATTAATTGTTAACTTTTTGCTAAATTTGTTATCCTCTGTCTCCCCTCATCTTTCCTCTCTCCCGTTCCATCTCTATCTCTTTTCCTCTCTCCAAACACACAAATGCATGCATCTGTATATCACACACACACACACACACACAGTTATTTTGCTAAACCATTTGAAAGTTGAAAACATGACCGTTCACTTCTAAATATCAGCATGTATTTCCTAAAAACAAGGATACTTTTACATAACCACATGTTGTCACACCCAGTGAAATTAATATTGATAAAACAATATGCAGTTTATAACTCAGGTTTTCCCAGTGTAAAAAGATGTTCTTTGTAGATTTCTTTTTCCAGTCAAGGATCATGCATTTTATTTGGTTGTGATGATTCTTTAGTCTCCTTTAATCTAAAATTGCCCTTGTCATTCCCTCACCCCATTACTGTCTTTCATGACACTGACAGTATTTGAGCAATTCAGGCTGACAGCCTGAATTTGTTTTCTCATGGTTAGATGAGGTTAATTTAAACATTATTTTGGCAAGAAAAATAATGCATAGGTGTGTAGTAAACTTAATGCTTAAAGTAACTTAGAATGAAAAGTAAAAGTACTTTTTCCTCTCTTTGTTTCTACAGAATTTTGAACACAAATAGTTTGCTCTGTGACTGCCATTTGAAGTGGTTGCTTCAGTGGCTGGTTGATAATAACTTTCAACATTCAGTGAATGCAAGTTGTGCACACCCTGAATGGCTAGCAGGGCAAAGCATCTTGAATGTGGATCTGAAAGATTTTGTCTGTGGTTTGTATTTTTGTTTTAAAATTTATATATTATACACTTAGATCTTAACATCAGAATTTTTAAAAAGGGAGGATAATAGGATTAGAACGTGTCTTGAAATTTTAATATGGGTTTTTCGTTTATTCCCAGTAGCTGCTAATGCTTAAGAAGTACATTCTAGGCATAAGTGGCAGTAAGGGATAATGGGAAGAGGGCTGAAACCTAAAGTATGAAAACCTGGGGTCCAGTCCAGGTTCTGCTGCTGACTTACATGTCTCTGAGCAAGTCATCTGACCCTTCTGGGCCTCATCTTTATACGAAGGACTTAGATTCTAGCTCTGTAATCTATTTTAATCATAATACGCCATTTTGTAAACAGAATACACAAATTTACATAATTTGTTTTAAAATTGTATCTGTAGAAGTAAAAATAAACAACTGACTTGGCTCCTGCCCTGTTCTTTTCCCTTAGATGATTTTCTCAAGCCACAGATAAGAATACATCCTGAAACCGCAGTTGCTCTCAGAGGCGTGAACGTGACTCTGACGTGCACTGCAGTGAGTAGCAGTGATTCACCCATGTCTGCTGTGTGGCGCAAAGACAGTGAAATCTTGTGTGATGCCGATATTGAGAATTTTGTTCGTTATCAGCAGCAAGCTGGAGAAGCTCTGGAATATACTAGTGTCTTACATCTTTTCAATGTGAATTTCACAGATGAAGGAAAATATCAGTGCATTGTTACTAATCACTTTGGTTCTAATTATTCTGATAAAGCCAAACTGACTGTGAATGGTAAGGAATTATGCTCCCCAATAGTTTGTTGTAGTTAGAAGGATTTTGCACATTCAGTTTTGAACCACTTAGCTCAAGAAAATTAGGCAAAACCTGACATTTGAGGGGGGATCTTATTGTGTTTGTCTTAGGGTTGTGATTGTGTATAGACTGGATTACTAGTTTGTCTACTTTCTGTCCCTGCTTGGTCGTTGGTTGTGATGTAAGTGTGAATTCCATGGTCCCAAGAGAGAGGCTACTTTCACTATTATTTATGCTTTTGAAAAAATTCTCTTGAAATTCCCCTCTTTTCAGAACACAATTCTGTTCTGAAAACTATGAAATTTATTCCTGACACCGTTCATGGGGCCTTCCAATAACTGGGAGTATTTAGGATATTTCTGGGTCCACTTGATCATCATCATTATGTTAATGTAGTCACACAGAACCATTTTTGAAATGAATGCTCTTCTTCACTGTGGCTATAAACAGACTTCTCCAAAACAGCTTGATCTATTTATTGCCTATTAGTTTGAATAACTACTACATTGCATGCTTTGTGCACCCAAAAGATGTACCATGTTTTGCTTGTGTGTTGTTTCATGAGGTTTTTGAAGGCATAATTTTTTTTTTTATCACATAGTAGCCTTGACAGCTTTGTATATGTTAGTCTCGTAAGTAAGGGAATCCTAGTAAATACCAGGTTCTAAAATAGGGAGTTCAGAAAGGTTTGTGGCCCTCTGCTTTCCCTGTACCCATGGGGGCCGGGGTGGGGGTAGAGGTCAGGGAAGTGTGTCATGCATTCTAGAAGAGTTGGTCATTGCTATTCTTCAAATACTCTGAAGTGGGAGGAAAGATGGCCTCTGACGTTGTATTTTACTGCCATGTCAGTCCAAAGAGCATGTCTTCCCAAAGAAACGCAGCATTGCAACAGTTGTCGTTTGGCCTAACAGATTCTCCCATGTGTTTATGTGTGTATTCACCCTGCCCACATTTTCTCCGTGATTTTTCTTGGAACAGAGATGCCATCTTTTCTGAAAACCCCAATGGATTTAACTATTCGCACTGGTGCCATGGCCAGATTAGAATGTGCTGCAGAGGGGCACCCTGTACCTCAGATTTCCTGGCAGAAAGATGGTGGTACTGACTTCCCTGCAGCTCGAGAAAGACGAATGCATGTCATGCCTGAGGATGATGTCTTCTTCATTGCAAATGTGAAGATAGAAGACATGGGAATCTACAGCTGCATGGCACAAAATATAGCAGGAGGCCTCTCAGCAAATGCCTCGCTCACAGTCTTAGGTATGTTCACTGCTCCATGGGTCCCTGCTCTCGTAGGAACTTTTTTACTAGGGACCTACGCTTGTTGTTCTTAATGACAAGAAAAGTCTGAGATTTCAGTTGTGATCTTCATTATCTTATTTTGCCAGTTTATACAGGGTTATGTCAGCCTAGGGTATTAGTGGATCAGAAAGCTGAAATCTGGGGAATGCTGAGGTCAAATTTAGAGATCTTTATCATATAAATTGAAAATTTAGGTCCCTAGATATGTCCTATTCTGTCTACCTCTGTAAGGTGTTTGCTTTATACACATGGTTTTTCTGCTCTTCAGTAGTGAGTTTCAGTTGTTTCATGTGTCTTCACATACTGCTTCATAGGGAACTTGAGACAGTTCAACTGTTTCTCCCCCAGTTTATTTAAAAAAAATTTAGTACAGACAGAATGACCTCTTTTACTTAGATTTCCCGTTTTCCTTCCAGCGTGCTTCTTTTAATTTTATGCCATGATAAAATGTCTTTTCCCCAAAGATTTCTCCTGACAAGCCTATTTTTTCCTTATGAGAATGCTTTTCTTCATGGGACTTAAATCCCAGGCAAATTTTACTTTTAGTTCTCTATTCCCCTAGCTGTTAAGGTTTTTAAGTTTGTTGGTTTGTGTTATTTACTTGTATAATCAAAAAATAAGTTTATTGTGTTTAAAATTTTTAGCTATACAGAAAATTAGAATAAAGGAGGGAGAGTCACTCAAACACTTGCTAAAGATTTTGTCGTATTCTGAACTTTTTAAAATCTCATTTTTATGTAGTTATGTATACCTACTTTTTTCCACTTAATATTATCACAAGGTTACCCTGTCATTAATCTTCATAAAGCATTACATGGCTGTGTACTGTAATTTACTTAATCATTTACCTGCTAGATATTTTCCCCCTTATTTAAAAAAATTACAACTAATTTTATAATAAACATCGTGGTATAGAAAATTTGAATTCTTTAGCTTAGGATAGCCTGCCCAACGTGGAAATACTGAGATAAGATTTAGATTGTTTGAGGCTTTTGCTTTTCTGAAATACTAACTTTTAATTCTCCCACAAGTATATGAAATTACCTATTTCATTTTCACCTCATTAGTCTAGTCCAGTAGGACTTGAGGAATAAAATTGCTCAATGTGATTTTTTATACATCTTTCTGTTAGAGACACCCTCATTTATTAGACCGCTGGAGGATAAGACAGTGACCCGAGGTGAAACTGCGGTATTGCAGTGCATAGCTGGAGGGAGTCCTGCCCCGCGCCTCAACTGGACCAAAGATGATGGACCACTGCTGGTGACAGAACGACACTTCTTTGCTGCAGCCAACCAGCTTCTCATCATTGTAGACGCTGGGCTAGAAGATGCTGGGAAATATACCTGCATTATGTCTAACACTCTTGGGACAGAACGTGGTCACATTTACCTAAATGTCATCTCATCCCCTAATTGTGACTCTTCCCAGAGTAGCATTGGGCATGAAGATGATGGCTGGACCACAGTTGGCATTGTCATCATTGTTGTGGTCTGCTGTGTTGTGGGCACTTCTTTGATCTGGGTCATTGTTATTTACCACATGAGAAGGAAAAATGAAGACTATAGTATCACAAACACAGGTGAGTGGTACCTAGTTGACACCTTTGCCTTGTACTTGAATCAGGAATATATAGAATTTAGTGTAAAATATAAAAACTGAGGAGCTTTGATACTTTCTGTGGGGTAGAAGGAAGAGTTTTTCTGTTAAAATGTCCTATTTCCTTGATATAACGGAACCCCTTTCTCAAAACTTTGCTTGTCCTTAAGGCCTAAGGCTCATTTCCATCGTAATTCCCTGTGGGGAAGAGTGGAGCCCTTCTGACAGATCCGCCCTTCACCCTCACCCTGAAATCCTGTGAGAGAAGAGGTTCAGCCATAGACTATGAAAGTGCCTACAGATAAGATTTCAGATGTTAGGTTTTGTTGCTTTTGGTAATACCATTACATTGAAGCTTTGAAAATAATTCTAGTGAGGAATGATTTTAGGGGAAAATTCTAAGAGCTGTTAACTTCCTACATATACATAAAACATTGTCCTGGCCAACAGTGTCAAAGTGGAACACATTTGCCAAATAGTCTTCTGAGTGTTGGCTTAAATTGCCTAACATTATTTGTGAGCTACATACAGATTTCTGTTTCACAGAGGAGCTTAATCTGCCTGCAGACATTCCCAGCTACTTGTCTTCCCAAGGAACTCTGTCCGAGCCCCAGGAAGGCTACAGCAGCTCAGAGGCAGGCAGTCACCAGCAGCTCATGCCTCCTGCCAATGGATACTTACACAAAGGCCCTGATGGTAATGACTTCTCTTTGTATGTGCTTACAATTGCGGCCCTATCCTTTTGAAGTTATTTTTTAGTGTATAGTTTTCTCCTTTAACGTGGTGCAATATTTTAAACAGATATAAAAATTGACTAAAGTCTTAACAGCGCAGAAAGTCACCTGACAGGAGAAACACATCCTAAAGGGATTGAGAGTATACAGCACCGGCTCCCAAACCAGTGTTATTCTGGGGAGGAAAAGCTCTGGAAACATTTTTCAAGTGTCTTTTGTTTGATTCAGGCATGAACATCCTTTAGACGGTGTCCAGAGGAGGCTTGTTTCTCTTGCTGACAGGTATACAGTCACTAAAGTTTAAATGGTGATGATGTTTTTCAGCTTATTATTAGAGAGAGAAGAAGTTCTCTAATTAAATGAAACTAACCTCTCAACACAGCTTTTCTTCCCACTCCACCCTTCAGAGTTGAATTAGGGATAGAAGAATTGGGTTTGATTCCTAGTTCCTCTTCCACCTCTGTGGCCATGAACAGGTGAAGATGTGAGCTTTAATGTCCTTATTTTAAAAATAAAAAGTATTTTATAAGACACTTTTCTCAAGATTTTAGCAGATTCTTTCAACAAATGTGTATAGTACTTCAAGTATTATACAAATGAAAGGTCTTTTCCATTTCTAGAGACATTTATGCTGGGTATTAACAGAACTTCTGTATGTAATTGATAAGTTGGAGTTTATATTTTGGCTTTCTAGCTTTTAAAATAATACTTAAAGCCTTCACTGTTTGAAACTTGTGGGAAATAACATTGCCTTCTGGGTTAAACTAAATTACATTTAGATCTCTTTCATTCTAACATTTTGTTGCCTGATTGTGACTAAGTAATTTGCTCTTTATTCTCACTCTCTTTCCTCATTCAGATTTCAAAGCCCAGGAAGCTCATTGTTAAACCTTTACTTCTGACAAACACATATTTGTCAGGAAGGACTCTTGGCTTTCTCTAGGGCTACTTTCTGCAGCTTGTGTTGCTTAACCTCTTGATTCATGAAAGTAATATGGGCTTTTGTGAAGTGAAGTCATCATAACTCCTCGTTCTCTGCTTTGGTTTGCTGAAGCCAAACATGTCTTGTAGCACGGTGCCAACCTTATTTTGGCTCCCTTGATTGGAGCATGACCTTATCCAGGCTGGATAAAGATGGTTTAGTCAAGAGCATGAGCTCTGGAGCCTGAGTGCCTGAGTTCACATTTTAGTGTCTCAGTCTGGCAGTATGTTTGGGCAAGTTATTTTAACTTCTCTGTGTTGTAATTATTCCACCTGGGAGATGGGGATAGTAACAGTACCTACCTTAGAGGGATCTTGTAAGGTTATATAGTTAATATATAGAGAGACCTTGAAAATTCACCTGGTTTATAAAGTAACTGTTGAGTAAATGCCAGCTATGAAGATAATGATGATGGCAACTGTGGAAGGAAACTGATGACTGGTAAAGCTGGTTCCTTAACTGAAGGATGTTCAGGTTCTGTCCCATGTTGTCCTTAGGTGGCACTGGTGCTCGGGTTATCTGCTCAGATTGTTACGATAATGCCAACATCTACTCCAGGACGCGAGAATACTGTCCGTACACCTACATTGCTGAGGAGGATGTTCTAGATCAGACACTGTCAAGCCTCATGGTTCAGATGCCCAAAGAGACGTACCTGGCACATCCTTCCCAAGATGCCACGACCCTGGAGAGCCTGGTATTATCAGCAGATAGAGAGATGTCTGCCTTTCCCACCAACCATGAGAGGATAAATGAGAAGAAACTTTCTTCTACACAGATGAGTGGTGGTAAAGGGCACATTGTTTTTATTTATTTTGTTTTCTCTTTCATCTACTTGATTTGTTTCCCTGTCATGTAGGTAGCACTCTCATTTGACAGGAAGCAATCAGATTTGTAAAATAGAGTAATTAGCTACTGTTAACTGGTATAAACTAGAGCAAGAGATTTTTAGAGTCTAGAGTTACAAAGAAGTCTGCATTTGTAGGATGAAAACAGTTTTGGTGGGAATGACTAGACCATACCTCTAAAAATCAGAAGCCATATAGAAAAAGCTTTTAAAAGTTTCATATAGATGTTAATTTTTACTTTCATCTTTATTTAAATGATGGAAATCTGAAATGCTAAGGATATAATTTGGTGAGGGTCTTTACTGAGAAGATTTTAAAATGTTTTATTTGGTTGCTGTGCTGTCAGGTAAGTATTGAATGCCAGTATCACTTGGCAGGTGTTTGCTGTTGTCTGTGAGGTCCGATGGTCAGAACCATAAGTGGGAAAGCAGTTTAGGGATAGTGTCCTCGGACCCACATGGCCCAGGAAAAGGAATACATATTGTGCAGATGAAGCATTTGTGACCAAGCTGGTCACTAAAACAAAGCAAAACAAAACAAAACTCTTCCAAAGTCATAAAGGGCAGTACTGAACATGTCTTCCTGTCCATCTAGGCTTTTCATCAGCTCTCAGTCACCCTTCTGTCAGTCTGAAATCCAGAAGCACTGGAAACAGGGTGGGGTGAGAACTGGTTTACTGAGGAAGACAATGTATGATAGTGCTTCCAGGAATGGTCTGGCAGGCGTAAATGATCTACGTGGGACCTTTGAGATGTGCTCTTGTTCTTAATTAAGAGATCAGCTTTCTAAAGATTTTAAGAGGGTACAGGTCAGAGAAAAGCATACTGTTACTAAAATTGTCTTTTTAAAATTAGTCTCAGTGTCCATGAAAGAAATGCGCCAACACTAAATATATTTTCCTGTACCTTAGAAGAGTCACACAAAAATCTTTCAAGTAGACCCAGAAATGCAGTGCATCCTTTTCCTAACTGGGGACATCGGACTTGTTAATCTTGGTCTATAAGTGATGAAATCAGCAAATGAGAGTGTGTTGGTGCAATGCCTAGGGTCTCTAGCTCCTTGCTACTCAAAGTATGGTCTGTCCCACCTGACCCAGGAAACCAGGGTCTTTATTTTACCAAGACCCCCAGGTTATTTGTATGCATATTAAAGCTTGAGAAACCCTGTTGTAGTTTCCTTTTCACACGGGGTATTAAAATATTTTATTTCCAGAATGTTTTTTTTTTTTTTATTCTCACCCGAGGACATTTTTTTCCATTTTTTGTTCAGATAGAGTGGGAGGGAGAAAGAGGAAGAGAGAGAGAAAAACATCGATGTGAAAGGGACACATCGAGTGGCTGCCAATTGCACGACCAACCAGGGCCGGGGACAAACTGCAACCGAGGTACATGCCCTTAGCGGGAACTGAACCCGGGTCTCTCTGGACCGCAGGCCGATGCTCTAACCGCTGCATCGCTCTAACCGGCCAGGGCTATTTCCAGAATGTTTGACTAAGCTTTTTCCAAAATGCATCACCATGAAGTTAACATAACTTTCAGTAAATGATCTTTGGGGAGAGCGCTTACCCATGCAGTAAATAACAATGAGAAATACACACTTTTGAACTCAAAATATAGGTAATCTGATTTAAAATAGCTGCTTTTGGATATTATTCTATTGTTAGAGTTATGACATGCCAGAAACTGGAGGAAAACGGTTTATTTTTAAGGTAGGTTTTTTTTAAAAAAAGTAGGCATTTAATTGTTATTTTAAAATATAATGGTTGCTGTCCAGAGAGACTCGGGTTCGGTTCCCGCTAAGGGCACGTACCTCAGTTGCAGTTTGTCCCCGGCCCTGGTTGGGTCGTGCGAGTGGCAACCACTCGATGTGTCCCTTTCACGTCGATGTTCCTCTCTCTCTCTCCCTCCCACTCTATCTGAACAACAACAAAAAAAAAAAATGGAAAAATGTCCTCGGGTGAGGATTAAAAAAAAACAAAATAAAATATAATGGCTGCTCTGAATCAGTGTTTAGCTATGTATCATGCAACTTCCACTACAATATGGATACTATTAGTTTCTTAGTCTGTTTCCATGTGTTTAAAGAGGTTTATTTTAAAATTTGGTAGCAGTAGAATCACTAACACTAGGCATAAGTAGAAAAAGTGTGGGTTCAGTAAATAATCGGTTAAATTTGTTGAATAGAAGGGATTGCAAGACCATAGTTGGCAGTTTTTTTCTTTTTTCAGTTATTGCTAAGAAGATGGCAAGTATATATTTGATCCCAACATCCTTATTCAGAAATATTGGGTATCTTTATTTCTTTGAGAATTTGGGTAAAAGAAAATTAAGTTTTAGAAAATTAATTTTGAACTTGTGTTTGTCACTGATAATTCTTGTCTTTGATTCTCAGAAACACTGCAGCGGCCTCTGTGGAACATAAGCAAAGAACCAGGCCTGCCTCATCCTCCCTTTTCCCAGCAGCCCATCCTTGAGTCACCACAGCTCCATCGAAATGAGGGCCTGGCAGAGAGTGATGCAGACTGCTCCACTTCCCCCATGCCTTGTCACAGGTTACACGACCGTGCTTTTGATTTTAGTAGGACTCGGAATATTCAAGATGGTAGTGAGGGCACATGAAACATTCCAGGATGAAATCTGGGCAAAGACTCAAATTAATTAATTTTGTTATTTACTACCTCAGAGTTCAGAAGAAACCCCAAAGTCAGCATTTGCTTTACTCTCTGTCTCCAGTTACATCTGACCACACCAAGGTGGGCCAGGCGTTTGTTTGGGCTTGTACCTGACAAAGAAGGGGTAATGGCTGACACAAATGGGCACCTGTAATAAACAGTGTGCAGCAGGGGTAGAGGAAGATACAGGACAGACGTGCTTCTTGATGGTTCCATGGGCTGTGCCCGGGGCGCATTGCTTCTTAGGAAGAGTCTCAGATGGTCTCAACCAGAAGAATGATTCTGAGGAAGAATTACTGTTCTAGTTTGCCTTCCAGAGAACAAAAATAACTTTGGAGCCCTCTGGGAATTGTTCCCGGAATACTGTCATCTTTAGCATATAGTTGAGAATGGGCTTTGATATTCAAAGTCTTTGGCAAGAATCTCAGGCTTGACCAACTGTCACCAGGTCAAGTTTTGTATTCTTGTGAATCTTTTTGGGGAGGGTGTCCCTATCACCCAGGGATCTCATTGTAAATATGTGCATTTATAAATTTTATATTCGTTGACCATAAATGTTGGCTGCAGTGTAAATATTTTTGATATGCCAAAATTATATATGATATCCAGTTATAATATTGACAGCAGCTTCTCAGACCAGACAGATTTTGTGTATCTTGGATTAGTGAGTCTAAAGACTGTTTCAAGTTTTAAAAATGTATTTGTTAAGTATATGTATAAAGGCAGGGTACCTAGTGATTGGGTACACAAACACAATCTTGGTGTAATTAACCACTTACTTCATATCTAAAAATCCATACATCTACTCATTTGCCACCTGTTTACAAGTGTCAGGCAATAGTACCTTGCTAGCATAAAAAGGCTCTTTTCAAAGACACTAGCTGTCTTGTCATCACCATATGCGCATAAAGGAAAACTTGTTTGGGGAATATCTTCTTTCAACAAAGTTCATAGTTGATGAGGAAACCAAAGATTGCTTCTTTTCTGTGTGTGTATTGTGTGGTTTTTTTATGTCTCTTCTATCAATGCACAGTGAATCTTAAGGGAAGAGGGCTTTTGGAAGTAGAAGAATGGACAGAAATGCTTTGTACAGGTGATTATTTAAGCCAAAAAGTTTTTCTGAATTTCTGATAGCAAAAAGCTTTATGTAAACAAAGGACTTAACACTGTAACGCAGTGTAATAGATTGAAGTTCTTTGTGCTTTCAGTTTTCCTTATATGGGTGGCCAGTTTCTGTTCTCTCAATCTAGTAAGTATTAGCTATGTACTAGATAACCTCAGTCACTTCAGTGAAAATATCTAAGTCATTGTGCATTTCAGGGGTTTAAACTCACTAATTTCTCAGCTTTTTGCTGGAATTTCATATTTGTTTTCAATCCTAAATTTTTCTCCCATAGGCCACAGCACCTCTTGAGCTGTTTTGTACCACCATACCTTTCTCTTTTTCCTTTTTAAACTGTCAGCCCCTTTTCATTTTCACTTTGAACTTCTTAAATATCTTTTTTTCCCCGTCCTTCCCCTCTTCTTACTCAGTTGTAGTATAATTTGTATCGTCTTAGAATTAAGAGACCGGATTTCATTTCTTGTTCTGATCCTTTCTAGTTGTATAATCAAGGGCCAGTCCCTTTACAACTCAGCCTAGTTTTCTCATTTAGGAAATGAGGACGTTTTACTAGATGCTGTAAAGCCGTTTCCATCTGTAATATTCTATGAATCTGTGATCCCTCCAGGATCCAAGGAGGATTATGCTACTCTGATAAAAAGCTGCTTTCATGAAATGTTTGTTAGAATAGAACAAGAGTGATGCTGTTTACTCTGACTTGAGCCAGATTTATTTCCTCTGTAGCAGAAGTAATGGTATAAGAAATACTCATGAGAAGAAATACTCTGCTTCTAAACAGGATCAGTAAATAAGGGTTCTTGACTCCATTGACAAGCACTCTGTTCTCTGGAACAGCAAGTCTGAGCACTGGTGTCAGAGCACTCCACAGAATCAGAATCAGCTGAAGGGTGCACCATGACTAACCTGTAACTAGTTTGTGACTCCCTGTCCTTTCTGACGTGCTCCAGGTTATCCCAGTGTTAATAGTACTCTCACTCACATTCTGATAGACTTTCTTAAGTGACAAGGTGGAGTTAGAGCTAGGCTGCAATTGAGCATCAACTATTACTTGTGAGAGGACAAAATCAGGCTAGACCAGTGCTCTAGAAAATGCCGACTGCATGGGTGCCACCTCTGCTCTAGCAGAGGCTGTTCTGTGCCAGTGGTGTCCGAGTCTGGGCTTCTGATGGCCAGGTTCTCCGTTATGTCACCTTAGATGGTTGCAGTGTCCTTCCAGATACTCCTAGCTTCTCTACATAACTAAAACACTTGCCTAAAAAACTAGTCAGGAATTTGTTCAAATGTGAATCGCCTACCCCTTGGTCTTAAAAAGTAATAATAAACAATAAACTTTAATCTTAGGGGAAATTTCTGAAACTTTTCATTATTGCTTATGTTTTTGACCAAACCATCATTAACCATCTTCTATAACCAGAATTAGTGGCTTTATCAGTGTTGCCTTCCAGAAGCGTAATGTCTGCCTGTTGCCAATCTAACCAGGGATGTTGCAGAGCCAGGCAAACTAAAATGCTGAGAGAACTACTCTCCGCCCCCCCCCCCCCCCCAATTACCACTTCCTGTCAGGGTGATGCATACATTCTCTTCATGTGTTTGTTCCCCTCATACTAGTTCTTCAAGTGTACTTGGAAGAACTAGCACTACCCTTGAACTCAAGCCTTTGCTAGCACAGGGTCTACACCTAAGCCATTGGCCTTCTGTCACTCGGCAGCTTCAAAAATGCTTTCCCTAGTGTGTAAGTTGCTCTGTAGAACAGAAAATAGCAGAAATCCAGCCCAAGGTGCAGTTCCCTCCACTGTGCCATCTCAGAATGCTTAAAATGTATATTTTTCTGTAAGGTAACTTTCATGTTTAAAAACAGTTACTTTCACATTGCCCATTGGAAGTCTCTAAAAGAAACATTAAGATGTTAAGCAACTTAGACTTGTTAGCCATTTTCCTAAGAAAAGGGAGATATGATAAAAAGTCTTTAATTACTTACAGGGTTGTCATATGAAAGCAAGACGAGATTCACTCTTCATTCCAGAGGATGTGGGTTGCATCAATGGGGCAGGAGTTACAGGGAGGTGCAGAATACACCTGCCAATAATTCTGTATAAGCTCACTTTCTAACAGTTAGATTCGTCGGACATTGGAATAATCAGACTTATGGAAGCTGTACACAGTACACATGGAAGCTGAATAATCATCTGCTAACAACATTGAAGACATTTCTGCCTTTAGGTGGAATATGGGCAAGATGACTTTTAGGTCTCTTTCATTTTATCATTGGAAAGCTCCATAAAAACTCTGTCCTTCAGAATCCTTTCTATAAAGTAAGTATAGATTACTTAAAAAATTTTTTTAAACTAAAGAACTGTGGGTTTTGGCCCATTCTGTGTTAATGGCTGAAAACATAAAAGTCTGGGCTTACTCTTCTGAGGAAATCTATAACTAGGAGTTATTAACACAGATGGCACTACCATAATAAAAAGTTTTGAAGCCTGTAACATTTTATATCTATCCTTTTACTCTTTAATTTTTATTCCTGTTTCTTCTTATCAGTGGGCTCCCTTTTGAATGGGGTTGGAATTGTAGTGTTCAGTTTTATACCCAGTATTTTGCCCAAGTGTGTTGTGGTCTTTTCTGATCATTTCTGTATCCACAGAAATGCCAAGAAGGTAATGGAACAACAGGTAAATTTGCTGTCATTTGATGCTGTGTCCTCCATTTCTTTCTTTGCTTCTTTTTAAAATTTTTTTCCCTCACCTGAGGACATTTTTGCATTTATCTTCAGATAGAGTGGGAGGGGGAGAGGGGGAAAGAGAGAGAGAGAGAGAGCAAAACATTGATATGAGAGAGACACATTGACTGGTTGCCACCCACATGACCCCAACCGGGGCTGGGACAAATTACAACTGAGGTATGTGCCCTTAGTGGGAACTGAACCCGGGACTCTCTGGTCTGCAGGCTGATGCTCTAACTGGCCAGGGCCTTACTTTGCTTCTTGATGGAGATGACAGAGGTAATTGTGCAACAGCCGTGCTCAGGTTTCTTGGGCATCTGCACGGAGTGTTTCATTTTTCTATTACACGGTCTCTTTCCAGTTCAGTTCGGCAGATGTTTCTCCTCCTGCTTCTCCTTTTTTGTTTGGAGTACAATCTAAATCAACATCAGTTAGCCTTAATTTTCTTTGTTTTGGACACTGCCTGGTTTGTTGCAAAAATAACAAGTTCTGAATTGAGAGATATATTATAAGCTGCTCCTAACAAAACACCTGAAAGCTCATTAATCATCTGAAGGTTTTTATGGGCACTAAAGGGTGTGTGTGTATGTGTGTGTGTGTGTGTGTGTGTGTGTATTTTGAGAGTAATATTTGGACCTGTTCCCTGAAGGTTGTGTATATTATGAATCCTAATCATTTCACCAATGGGTGGGGTAAAGGTGAAAAACAGCTTTATTTGAGCCTGTCTGCAAATGTCTTAAGAGAGAAATTGATGATCATGTGGTCAACTGCTCTTGGAATATTTTTTGGCCTCTTGATCCACAGACTATTTCTACCCTTACATTCCTCCTGTTCTCCCCTCACCCCCCATCAGAGGGTGGCAGTCTGAGCGGCTCTGGTACTGGATGTCCGTGAGGAGAGTTATAAGCCAAGTTATTCAGTGTGGCCCTTTCCTCATATCTATTTATATTTTCTCACACATGAGAATGTATATTTTATAAAGCATGTGTTTGTCTACTTGTTTGTCTACTGTAATATGTCTTCAATAAAGCTAAAATACATTATGATTTTCTGGTCTTCTCTTTCCTAAAGTACAGGAGTGAAATGGTGCATTTTTAGTTTGTGGGTTGTTTTTTTTAAATCCTCACCTGAGGATATTTTTCTGTTGATTTTCAGATAGAGAGGGGGAGAGAGAGAGAGAGAGAGAGAGAGAGAAACATTGATGTGAGAGAGACACATTGGTTGCCTCCTGCATGACCTCAGCCAGGGCCAGGGATCAAATTGCAACCAAGGTACGTGCCCTTGACCAGAATCGAACCCGCGATTCTGGTCCAATGGCCGACACTCTTAACTGCTGAGCCAAACCGGCCAGGGCAAGTTTGTGGGTTTTTTTCAGAGGGTCTCCAAATAGCTGTACAAGTTTAAATGGGAAAGAGTTGCCCTTCTCCAGTTCCTGCTGCATGTAAGAGGCACATGTGCCTTGAGCATGCCACAGGTGTCCCTGCAGCTGGGAGCTGCCCCTGCGCCGTCCTCTGCCTCCCTCGTGGTGTCTGCCGTGGTGCTGGATGCCTGCAGAGTGGCAGCAAACATACTTACAAGTTCTTCAGAAAGTAAGAGTGCTTTCTGTACAGGGAAGAATTTGAAGGCAGCATTTCCCAATTTGGTTTTGATTAACAAAATCGTTGAATGAAGTCAGTATTCCGGTCCCCTTTCTCACTGTACCATTTTGGGAGCTCTTTTCTAAAGACTCAACTCTGAAGGCTGCCTCACAGCACTGATCCCGAGGTGACCTTCTGCTGAGGCGGTTCCAGAGATGTTTATCTTAATTGGATCTCGCAACACTCTTAAGATGTAAATTGGGCAGGTCATTTTAATTGACACTTTTTGTATTTAGGAAACTGGCTCAGTAACATTATCACTTACACGATGTCAAAAAAACTTTTAGGTAAATAGAGTAGGATTTGAATCTAGATTTTGTGGACTTTTTCCACTGGGACACCTTCGGGTTCTGAGCAGCGTTGTGTCTTCGTGTTCACTCGCGTTGGGATAGGAAGCGCTCTGGCCTTCACGCACTTCCAGTGTGGTGAGAATTTGGGCTGGAACGTACACTAGAAGCCAGCGTTGACTGTTCCTGATGGGAAAGCTGACTGCGATTTTCTTACGAGTGGAATGAAGAAAAATGCCTTTTTTTTTTTTTTTTTTTTGCATTTGTCTGTTGTTCGTTTTTAGTGTGATATACTAGGACCCAAGGAGCAGCATCCTGCTGAAGTGCACTCTGAGTAACCGAGTGCCTAAGCTCTCTGCTGCAGGACTGGTCACGGGCCAGTACTCTTGTAAAATGCAGTAGGAGTGAATATCTAGGAACATGAAAAAAAATATATAAGAAACATTTTATTACAAATTTATTATGTAAAATTTCTCTGTCAAAATGCTGTTTCTAAATGCTTACTCTTGATTTCTGTCTGCCATGGCTGGTAGCAGCCAGGTGATGGGTAGGCATAGATCTGATACCACTTTGGGTAGCACTGCTGTCACCATGTGCACAGCTGTGTCATGATGGGGGTGGTTCTTTCTGGAGGTTTTTAAAAATTCTTGTTGGTTTGGCCTGGCTGGTGTGGCTCAGTGGTTGAGTGTCGACCCATGCACCAAGTGGCTGCCAGTTCAATTCCTGGTCAGGGTACATGCCCAGGTTGTGGGCCTGATCCCCAGTGGGGGCATGCAGGAGGCGGCCAATCTATGTTCTCTCTCATTGATGTCTCTCTCTTTCCCTCCTCCTTCCTCTCTCTCTCAAAAAAAATAAACATTTCAACTTCCAGTCAAGATGGCAGTGTGGGTAAATGCTGTATCGCATCCTCCCACAACCACATCAGAGTTACAACTAAACTACAGAACAACCATCATTCAAAACCGCCTGAAATCAAGCTGAATGGAAGTCCTACAACTACGGAATTAAAGCAGCAGCCACATCCAGACTGGTAGGAGGGGCGGAGGCGGACGGGCTGGTCCCACACCCACGTGTGGTGGATAAAAATCAGGAGGACACCTCGGCTGGGTAGGTCCTCCCTGAGGAGTGAGGGGTCCCTGTCCCACACCAGGTGCCCTGCTCAGGGTTCCAGTGCCAGGAAGAGAAGTTCCCAAAACTTCTGGCTGGAAAAACCAGCGGAAAACTGAGGCTGAGGCTGCTGGCAGCTCCTCTAAAAGAACCCGCTCATAAACTTATCGGACTCACTTTCTCTAAGCTTGGAGGGGAGGCAACTAGAGGGGTGCCAGAGACATACAGGGAAGAACTGAGCTGTTTGGCATGAGCGAGGGCTGGAGTGGGTGCTTTCACCTGGACAAACATGCTGTCAGAGGCCCTTCCCTGGGGCAGCAGACAGTCCCCATATCTGGGACTCCAGCAACCTGGCTCACACTGGTAGCGCCGCCCTGGTGATTCCCTGAGGCCCCGCCCCACCCAACTTTCAGGCCCACCCAAGCTGTTGCCAGTTGCTTAACCATAGGATTGGCCTGTCTTGGATCCTGCTTCAGGTTTTCCTAAATTCTTTCAAACAAGCAGCATCTGGTCTCAGCTAGCCCCATACCTCTTGTTAAGTAATACATAGAAACAAACATAGGGAGACAGCCAAAATGAGGACACAAGGAAACAAGTCCTAAATGAAAGAACAGAACAAAACCCCAGGAAAAGAACTAAGCGAAATGGAGACAAGCAACCTAACAGATGCTGAGTTCAAAATACTGCTTATAAGGGTGCTCAGTGAACTTAGTGAGAACCTCAGCGAACTTAGTGAGGGCCTCA